CATTTGATGAGTTTTTGATGCCGATTGACTGAAGTGAGCATCTGTTGCGTGAGGTGACAAAGCTTAGACAAAAAAAAGCTACTTTTATGCTTTAGTTTGACACTAACATCAAACAGTCAGGTCAAAACTAAATCCTCCAGCAGCCCAAATGCATTTGTCCAGAGAACCAAACCACCTTAGATAGGCTTATTAAAAGAGAACCAGATGTCCCCATCCTTTTCAGGATGTATGACATTAAAGTCTGATCATAGTTTTTGTCAAAATAGACATAAGTAGATCTCATCTATGAAAACCTTAGTAGGTCCTGTCAATAGAGAGGACAGTACATCCTGACAGTGAGCTATGCCAGAAGATTTTCCTTATTTTCTGCTCTATAAGGCGCACCAGATTATAAGGCTCATAGAGTAGAAGCTCCTGTAGAGGCTGGGGCTGCGATAGCATCCACCAGATGCAGCTACGCTAAAGACAACAGTCAGATAAGTCAGTCAAACTTTATTAATAGAACACAAACCAGCGTTCAGACTACTCAAAATGAATAAACAGCTGTTTTGTTATTTTTCCCGAGCTAATGTCAGTGACGTAGTATTTCCGTGATAGTTTATATTTTAACAACAACCATGTATAATAGGTAGAGCAGCATTTTTATCAGGTAGTGGAGGGGAACTCTTCCTTGATTCAGTAAACACGGAAAAGAAACAGTCTGATACTTTAAGGTAAATCAAACATGCAATCACAATATAGGAACTCTGGAAATAGTGCAAAGCAATAACAATACAACGATAAGTTAATTTCCATATTCACAATATGACCAACCCAGTTCACCAGAATTGTTTAAATGAAATTAAAAGTAAATGCACGCAGTCATATATCCCAGCATGCACCATGTGCTACTTCTTCTACGGTAGTAAATGGAGTCGGCAGCTGCTTCCTGTAGTTGCGGCTTAATCTTGATCTGCACTGTCGTTTTTTGAGAGAATTCAAGGCTTTTAGGTGAGCCTTATAGTGCGGAAAATACGGCACTATAACATCTTTCCAGTTTTCCTTTTTCATAACAATTAGAGCCTTGTTGTTGACATTGTTATTTAGTTTCTATCAGTAGCTCATAGAGATAATTGTAGATTCTGTCAGTAAGGACGTTACTTGCTCTTGCAAATAAGGTCTGTGGCAAAAACTACCAATCCTGTCTTCCTTGAAGTTGGCTGGATATCTTAGAGATTTAGAGTCAGAGTCATCTGACAGAATATCTCAGACCCTGTTGGAAACCCCTTAGCAGATGCTGTAAGCACAGGGCAAAACTGCAGAATCATACATGAACAACTTTATTCCACCGATTCATTTCAGCTTCTGCCGATGACCCCGATGAAGACCATGTTCAAATCAAGTTGTTTATATCCTGCAGTTTTGA